CTCTTACTGCTTGTAGTATTTTGTTCTTCTGTTGGGTTTCTTGGATCTTGATTATTATATATCTAGGTGTAGATTTTTTTTTGATTGTGGCTAGTTGGGGTCCCATATGCCTCACCTATATGAATGTCAAATTCTTCCCCTCTGTTTGGGAAGTTTCCTGTCATTAATTCTGTTAACAGCTTTTTTAAGTCATTTTTATTTTCTCCTGCTACTTCATGGATTCCTATCAGTCTTATGTTATTCTTTGCATTGGCTAGGAGCTGTTGGATTGATTTCTCATGATCCCCTACTGTTTTTAAGAGACCACTCTTTTCAGGATCACTGACTGCACTCTTTTTTTTTTTTTTTTGCACTCTTATCTTCTATAACTGAGAGTCTATCTTCTCAGTCTTTTATTCTGTTGCATATACTTTCAATGGAGTGTTTAATCTCCTGGATATGTTTGAATCTGTTTTATGGGTTCCATTTTTTTCTTATGTTGGGCATTTATTGTTTCCGTTTCTTTCTTATGCTGTCTTCATGGCTTCTATCGTGGTTCTGAGCTCATCTATTTTTTTGTCCGTTTCTGCTCTAGAGTCTCGAATCATGAATTTCATTTTGCTCACCATCTCTATGGTTATCTGGGAAATTATTTCTGTTTTGAATTTTTCTAGAGCCTGATTGATGTGTTTTGTTACTTTCTGTGCTTTGAGTTCAGGATGTCCTGATGGTTCACTATTGGCATTTTCATCCTCATTTGCCTTACTGTTTGCCATTGGCAAACTGGAAGTCTGTCTTTGTGTTTTAGTTAAGTGTTGTCTCATTTTTATTTTTGTAGTCAAGCTGTCCTTGGTTTAATCTTTGGGTTATCACCCAAATCTTCCTGATATAGTTGCGCCCTAGCTTCTGTGTCTCTAACAACCCACAGACATTCTCATCTTCATAACATCAGAGAAAACAGTTCATCAACTCAACCACAATCCTTTATCCCACCTGATACAATCAGCAACACATTATGATCAAGCCCAACTTGGAAACTGACCACCTCTGGTAGTCACTAGTCTATCACCCATAAACCATTTAAATTAAATTGAAATCAAGAAGCCATCCAGAACATGTCTGCAGTGAAGAAACTTTTCATTGTAGTATATTTACCATTTAATGGCTCAGACAGAGCTAGGACAAAAGACCCCTGCTCTCAGTTAGCTGATGGCTAAACCCCATGACACAGACTGACCTCAGGCTGCAAGGCCCAGATTGAGTTCCCCAACTTTCTGATTGGTTGAACTCCACACCATTCTACTACAGGTTTCCCATGCCCTTTCTTTAAAGATGTTCAAAGTTGGGAACTCAGAAAAATACCCTTTATGACTGCCTCTGCCTCTGCAGAGTGGGTCCAAAGACTGGCACAATCAGGTCTGAGAGTGAGCAGGGGGGACATTTAGGGGAGTTTTGAGGATTCAGGTGTGCCTGCGTGGCTACATTCCTGGTGCTGGAGCGATGGTGGCTTGGGGCAGGAGAAGGCTTGGCTCTCCTTCCCTCGGTGGATCTGGGCCCAGGCTACTTTCCTGGTGCTGGAGTGATGGTGGCTCCTAATTTATCATTCTTTATGGCTGAGTAGTATTCCGTTTTATCAAAAACCACATCTTCTTTATCCAGTTTCCAACTGATGGACAAATGGGCTGTTTCCAAGTTTTAGGTATTACAAACTGTGCCACTATAAACATGTATATGCATATATCACTCTGGTATGATTTTAATTCTTTTGGAAAGACTCAGCAGAGGAATGGCTGAGTCAAATGGAACCTCTAGTCCCAGCTCTTTGAGGTATCTCCATATTGATTTCCATAGTGGTTGCACTCCCACCAACAACTTTCCATATGGTCTGCACTCCCACCAACAATGGAGAAGGGTTCCTTTCTCCCCACATCCCCGCCAACATTTGTTATTGGTTGATTTCTAGATAGCAGCCATTCTTTGTGGAGTGGGGTGGAATCTCAATGCTGTTTTTATCTGCATCTCTTGAATTACCAGTGATGTGGAATATTTTTTCATATATTTACTTGCTGCTTTTACTTCTTGGTCTGAGAAATGTCTGTTCATTTCAGATGCCCATTTTTTGAATTGGGTCTTTATATGGGGGGGGCTGATTGTTTTGCATTCTTTATATATTCTAAATAATAATCCTTTTCTGAGGAGCAGCTGGTAAAATTTTTTTCCCACATTGTAGGTTGTCTCTTAGTTCTGTTGATGCTGCCATGTGTCTGTTACCTCGAAAGGCTTTTGCTATTCTTGGTCTCTTATAGTTCCAAATGAATTTTTGCATTCTTTTTTCTAGTTCTGTGAAATGTAGTGTTGGAATTTCAATTGGCTTTGCATTGAATCTGTATAGCAATTTGGTAGTATGGCCACTTTCACCATGTTGATTCTTCCTACCCAGGAGCAGGGGATATCATAATTTCTAATGTACTATGTATATTTCTATTTTTCTCTGTTCATTTTTTAAAGTAAAATATTGATCCAATGAATACAATTACATAAGAAACAATAGAGATAGAAAACCTAAGAAGATTGAACACTTGTGGTGCTTTAAAATATTCAGATAGTAACATGTAAAATTGGATGATGACATTCAAATGAAAATGAGTGTTGGAGGTTTGTAAATAGGGACGGGTGAAGGGGGTGAAGGGAGGGCGGGGATATAGAGAACAAACAAGAACCAAGATATATCATGTAAAGGTATAAGATCCCAATGATAAATGTAACTGCATTGCTTGCTTTAAATGACCAATAAACTTAATGGAAAAAAAAGAAAATGAGTGTTGGAGAAAACTTATGGGACATTACCATACTAGAGAGAAAAGTGACATCTGTGAAAGGTCTGATTTTAAAAATGAGCTGGGCTTTAGGACTCTACTTGCAGGTTAATCCATTTAAAGTTGTTATATTGCTTTGAAGGCAGGATGGGAGATGACAACTGTTTTGATCTTCAGTACTCATTGGTTAAATAAATGCTAGGCACAGTGGGGCGTGTCATTCAAGACACCTTAAAAATGAACTTAGTATTTCTTTATTCTCAAATATGAGAAGACAGAACAAGTGTGTTAGCACTGTTTAATGCAGTTTTTAATAAGTTAGTTTAGGGAAGAAAGATCCTTTTATAATGTTCTCTTTTATTTTTAGAAATTGCTTGTGTTCTACCTGTACTGATGAATGGCATACAGACCCACCCTCGCAAGCCTTTCTACACAGTTGGTGAGAAGGTGACTCTTTCCTGTTCAGGTGGAATGTCCTTAGATGGACCTTCAGTTTTTCTTTGTGGCTCCAGTCTTAAGTGGAGCCCTGAGATGAAGAATGTTCATTGTATGCGAAAAGGTGAGCAGCTTCTGTGTCTATTCAAGGTCACCTGCTCTCAGCTAAGTGAAAGTGCCTGTGGCAACATTCATAACTTTGTTTCTTCATCGTTGTGAGTCTTTCCTTACATTCTGCACTCTAGGTGAATGGGGTCAGTTTGTACACAGTGGGACAGTTATTCATGTGGCACACATTGACTTATGCAGGGACAGGCAAAGATATCCCTGGGGATTCTGAAACTTTATTTTAAATCCTCCAAAAGAAATATTAATTTTCTCTATTTTAGGATGTTAAGAGAATAAAGATTTTTAAAAGCTAATTTTTAATTTCCATCTGACTTTTTCCCTGTACTTCTATTAAGTACAATGTTAAACTAATAATTTCTCTAAAATTCTGTATATTTCATGTCTTTATTCTCAGAATTTGTCAACACTGAAATACAATATTTAAAAATAAATTTGCATTTGATACTACAAAAAATTATTGAAAGAAAAAGTTGTAGTTTGTGGTGTTGCTCTTAATGGTACAAATCTAAAAAAATCCAATATTTTAAACATTAGCCAAATTAAAATGTTCTCTTGAGAAGTTAAGTTGGAAAAGGTCTTAGAAGCCAAACTCATTTTAGAGCCCCTTGAGATGAGATAGATTTGTTTAAAAATAATTTATCTTTTCTTTGTTTAAATTTTTAATAAATAGAAATATTTGTAAAATACAACAAAAAAATAAAGCTCACTTGTATGCCATTTTATATGATACTAATTCGAGTGTAGGATTTTTTTTTGTACCAGGGATTAAATTTGTACCCTTGCACTTGTGAGGCAGGTGGCAGGACCACTGAGCTAGATCCCAAGAGTAGGACTTTTAATTCAATGCTGATACTTGTCTTTGCTCATGAAGATGAAATACTCGGTATTGTAAGTGATCCTCTTAGGTGAATTAGATGTTCATTACTAAGAAGAAGGCGGTGGGAAGCAGGCTACTGATGGTATATATGGGCTCTGGTGATAAATAGATGACAGATAAGGGGAGAGAAGGTGGAACAGGTCCAACAGGGGTCTTCTATGCCAGTTCTGACATGTTCATTATCTGTCAAAATCCCACAATGGAAGACAAAAACTTTGCTTTCTATGCTCACTGAAGCACAAATATGAATTTATTTGGGATGTATGAAAGAATCCACCTGAACCTGTAATTCTAAAGCGAAAGAGAATAATATACTATTGATGATGCTGTACTTTTGTTCCAAAGGAGGTTTCTGAAATGTCTACTTCAGTCATTTTGGTATGAATTTTTTCCCACTCAGTGGAAAATTCTATTAAAGCTGATTTTAATTAAGGATGTTTTTCAGACCTGTTTTTCTGAAGACATGGATAACAATAATAACTACCCCTCAAATAACCCTATAACCAACCAACAAACAAAAACTTCCAGGTTTGTCATACTCCAGATTTAGCATTTTGAAAATCCTTATATTAAAAAAAGATAGTGGCCAGGGTTTTAGCTCAGTGACACCATGCCTGCCTTGTAAGTACAAGGTCCTGAGTTTGATCCCTGATACAAAAAAAAAATCAGCTTAAATAGTAAGTAAATAAGATGCCATGTATTTCAGTAATTAGTTTTTTCATTGTGGTAAAATATGTGTAATGTAACATTTACCATTCCAACCATTTTTAAATGAATAGTTCAATGGCATTAAATGTATTCCTACAGTTATAGTACTATCCCTCTATCAAGAACTTTTTTTTATCTTACTCAATAGAAATTGCACCCATTAAACAATAACTCCTCATTTTCCCATATCTTCATTGTGGTTAATCTTGATGTAAGCAACAGCACATACACTAGGAAGGCTTTAAGCATGTATTGATTTGGTTAAACAAGCTGTGAGGATAAATGCTACTCTCCTAAATGCAAAATCCTATCAATGATTTTTTAAATTTGTTTTGTTTTGTTTTGGTACTGGGGATTGAACTTGGGTCCTTGTGCTTGCAAGGCATGCGGCAGCACCACTGAGCTAAATCCACAGCCATTAATGATTTTTTTTTTTGCAAAGAAATTGTAATAACTTTTAGAAAACATGTAAAATCTAAGATTTCAAAATTTATACTAAAATATTTTTTCAATAACAATGAAGAAGTAATTCATATGGCTTTATCATCAAACTTTAGTTTTGGTACATCTAGATTAATGGCTCTCAACCTCAATGACACTGTTTAAGGGCCTGTTCTATATATTGTAGGATATTTAAGGATATTTACCCACCAGATTCCAGCAGACCACTAACCCATCTACTGTTACAATGAAAACTGTATCCAAATATTATTAAACGTACATTTGGGGACAACATTTTCCTGGTTGGGAAACAATGATACAGAAAATATTTTAAAATATTTTGGATTTCATAAAAATTGCAAACATAGTTTCCACATGTGTTTTATCCATCTTTGCTGCTTACATAACTTGGCATAACAGCTGATAAAAGCTATTGACCATATTACACACTTCATCCAGATATCAGTAGTTTTCCCCCCAATGTCCTAGGACCTAATTCAGTTTGCCACATTACACTTAGGATACTAAAAAAAAACACAAACAAACTGAAGCATTTAATGAATAAGTAATTGTGATCATGGTAAGTGTGTTTCATATTGCTACTAGTTTCCCAAGTTTATGAATTGGCCACAAAATTGTGCTCTTATGTTTAAATTTCTTAAATTTTCCAAAGTAAGGAAATATTCCATAGTTCTTGCACTGATGAAAAGCATACTTTTCTAATTAACTTTATAATATATTAAGTGAGATTCTAATTTTGTGATCTCCAGAATATGCCAGTGACTTTCTTTGTAATGAAGCTGTCAGGAAATGGAAAAATTAGAGTGTTTTAAATTATTCACCTTATAATTAGTGGTAGCTAAGTTGATGGGAGTCAACTGTGCTCTTGTAAGCTGTAACATTATATTTTTTCTTTCAAAATTGGAATGATCGTTGACTTTGTAATCTGTTTCTAGACAACACATTTGTTACAGTGGATTAAGTATCACAGTGTATGAAAAGTGCATGACCAATTGTAAATGCTCAAGAAATGGTAGCTATTATTATCAATGCAATTATCTGTAAAATGTTCCTTAAAATGTAGGAACAATTATTAAATACAATAATAATAATAATAATAATAATAATAATAATTAATAATAATTTTTACCATAGGAACTCTGCAGTCAAAAATATTATACACCCAGGTTAAAAAATTAAAGTAATACCTGTTACCTGTGAAGAATGTCTCCTTTAGTGATTGCCTCTCTTTGTGTTTTTTCTTTTAGATGCTTCCTTAACACAGGCGGCACCTGAATGTCAGCTGTGGGAGAAAGTGCAGCATTCAAGATGTGTTTGTAAAATGCCTTATGAATGTGGGTAAGCAACATTTTTATGTTTTATTTTATCCAAGATAAATGGGATGATTTCTTAAATACTAGTGACTATTGAATTGAAAGTCTAGTTCACCAAATATTAAGGGTTTTTGCTTTTTGTTTGTTTGTTTCATTTTGTTTTGGTACCAGACATTGAACTTGGGACCTCATGCTTGCGAGGTGGGTGGTGGAGCCACTGGGCTAAACCCCTGGCCCCAAGGGTCTTTGTGTTTTGATTCTTTTTTTTTTTTTTTTTTTTTTTTTTGGTACTGGGGATTGAAAGGGTCTTTGTGTTTTAATCAGACAGATCTATTGCCTATTCCTTGCATGGATCACCAGGCTGATGGCCACTCTTAAACACTGTCCTAATCTGGCTAGCCTGAGAGGTTGAAGGACTACTTGAGTGTTGCTTGTTCTACACATAAAATGGAGTGAAATGACAAAACTTTCACCTGAGGATTTAGAGCTTTAGAGGATGAGGCTACAATTTCTTTGGGGCATGAACTCTTAAAGCAATACTAATAGAAAAAAGAGCAGCTACTTTTCTGATTTTTATATCATCTTTATATTTGTATCACGAAAACGTCACCAAATTGAAAGTACTCCATTGTAGGAGGGTCTCTGGAGTAGCTAGCTACTGGATGTCTGCATCACTGTTCTAGTTGGACACAGACGGCACAATTAGACTATGCAAGAAGTCTGTTGGCAAGTTTCTTCATAAAAGCATGTGCAGGAGCAGAGGAAGTTATGTCATAGGGTGGTGGCCCTGAGATGTTCACAGCTCAGCTATTTGTCTCCACACAAGCCTGAAAGTGGGAGAAGAGGGGCACTTATGAAACCTGAGATGGAGGGTTAAATGAAGATGCCTGCTGAAGAGTTTCTGACTTTCCTTTTAGGGACCTCAGAGATAACCATGAGGGTGAGCCAAGGGAATAAACACCCAACTTCACCCTCTTCCTTCTCTTCCATCTCCCACTAGTGCTCCCCATTGATAAAATCTACCTGGAGCTAGAGGGTTAGGAAGTAATGATGTGATCCTTACATACTGTCCTGCCAGGAAGATGGGGAAGAGTGGAGAAGGGTCTGGAGGAAATGGGAGATAGGGCTGGGGATTTAGCTCAGCGGTTCCACTGCCTGCCTGGCAAGCAGAAAGTCCCAAGTTTGATGCCCAGTACCAAAAAGAAAGAAAGAAAAAAAGTAAATGGGAAATGTCCAGCCCCTAAATTTAGGCACCATTGTTAAGAATAAGACACAGAACATTAATTTACTAATTACCTGGTTTTCATTTACTGTGCTCCTCAAGAACCATGTCTAACTTCTTAAACCTACAGTGGGTAATACTGAGTATATCTATCTCTAACTATATTTATATTGATATCCATATCTAATCTATCTATATCTATTATATCATCTGTCTGTCTTTTCATATAAATATATATGTATAATCTATCTATCTATATCTGTATTTCTGGTTTACAGAAGAGTACAACTAAATGGTGCAAATGGAATGGGAGGCCAGCCCAGATACAGCCTAATTCTAATACTCCAATCTCCTCTTATTCTCCAATAATCATTAGTGACTTTGAATTACCTCCCCCTCTCTTCAACTTTCTCAATTCCTTTAGTGTACTTTCATCCCATTACTTATAGACATATTAGAGTTTTCACATCATTTTATAGTAATGGAGGCTGAAAACAAGGTGGCATTATAAGGTCTCTGCCCATTAAATTGTTCTGTATAGTTCTATTTAAAGAAAAACAGCAATATATATATATATATATATTATATATAATGTATTTGTTATATAAATAATTCTAAGTAAATTCAGCTCTTGTTCAAAGAGGAAAATAGAGCCAAATGAAATACATGAGTGTAGAACCTCTCTGACTCACCTGATATACAAAAAATGCTTTGAGGTCTTAAGTTTTCCTTTACAGCAGAGCCTTTCTTATCCATCAGCACCCAAAAATGTGGTTTTTATTAGTGGTATTTCTAAATAGCTGCTTCTTTTGACGTTAATTTTATTAATACACATAATGATCACATTCATCAAAGGGAATGTGTTCCTGTGCATGGTGTACCTTGACTCCTCTTTTTCTCCCAAGCCCCTCCCCTCCCTTCAACACCCCTCTTATTTACAGAAGCTTTGTTTCCATTTTTTTCTTAGCCCTTTCTTTCCCCCCTCCCTGCTTCACAGTTTCCTTTTCCATTTGAATAGTTTCTTCCTAGTTCATATTATTTATTATACATTTTGGTCCTAATTTGCTCTTTCAGTTTTTCACACCAGAGAAACAACACAATATTTGCACATATGTGTTTGATTTATTCCACTTAAGAGTATAATCTCAAGTTTCATCTATTTAGCCATAAATATCTAATGTTTATCTTTCTTTAGGGTTTTATGGCCCCATTATAATGACCACATTTTTTATCCATTCATTGGTTGATGGGCATTTGAATTGCTTCCAAGATTACTAATTAAGCATATATCATTGTGCTATGATGCTTTTAATTCTTTTGGGAAGTTACCCAGGAGGGGAGTAGCTGGGTCAAATGGAACCCCTCATACTAATTTTTTGAGGAATCTCCACACTGATTTTCACAATGGTTGCACAAATCTGCATAAATAGCTATTTCTTACCATTTTATCACCAGTGCTTAAGAAAAAAGCATATTTTATGGAAGTGTTTCTACAGTACTTTGTAAATATAGACACTTTAAAAATAGCATTGAAAAATGCATTTTCATCTTCCTTTGATGATTTAGAGTCATTAATTGTTGGGTAGTGATGCATTATTGGACATGAACTCTCAGGGTTTCTGGGCTGGGAGAGGTAATTTGTTTTGTGGTCAGTGGTTTTATTTGGCTACGATTTCTTTACATGTTTTATTTTTGCTGGTTTTCTGTCTCTTTCTTTGTTATCAATCTATCAGCAGTTGCTCGCAGACCTCTCCTTCTCATCTAATTTGCTGTATCTGATCCATCCTAGATGAAAATAGATTAACACAGGTGTCTATGTTTTCAAAAAATGTGAGCACATAGAGCAAATGTGTTCATTTTGAAGATCTGAGGGGGTTGTACCCTAAGAATAAAAGGGATTTGAGTTGATATCTCATCTTTTGCTGTGGCTGATAACATGCAGTGTAGTGGACTCAAAGTCTCACTTTTCATCTCTTCTAAGTTTTCAAGAGCAAAAATCTTGTAAATAATGTAATTAAAAATTCTTTTCAGATCTTCCTTGGATGTATGTGCTCAAGATGAGAGAAGCAAAAGGATGCTGGCTCTGACAGTTTGCAAGATGCATGCTCTCCACTGTCAGGGTAGAAATTACACTCTTGCTGGAAGGAGCAGCTGTACTCTGCCTGCCTTGGCCCAGAAAGCCTGCGGTGCATGTCCACTCTGGGAAAAGTGTGATGGTAAGGAGAATTTCTTATTTGTAATTATGAGACTGCTAACATTCCTGAGGTTTTCAACAATGTAGTTTTTAGTTTAGCAGTGGATCGAAACAGATACTTGAGGATGTCAAAGGCTTACACTGATTTTGCCATGAACCTGCTCTGATTGTACCATGAACCTGCTGTCTCCACTTTCATCCTTGAGGAGGGCCATGAATCAAGTACCTAAGAGGACAAGAATTCATTCCCAATAATCTAATGCTTTCTCAATCCTTGGTGACTCCTAATCTACCTCATCACTTTAGCTCTATCTTTGTAATATCCATATCATATACTGATTTTTAAAAAGATGCACATAAAAAACTTTAAAAAAATACACTTTAAATTACATCCTTAAAGGGAAGTATCCTTTGCCATAAATATTTATTAGCTAAAAAAAATACACAGTGGTGCAAAATAAAGTTGTACATTCTATCCAAATACTGCGCTGAGATTGACAGTACTCTCTCTTTGTGAAAGGGGAATTTTGCAATTGTCAAAAATATAGTAGTGCCAAGCTGATATTTTCTCCTGAAAGTAATCAGGAGGATTTGGGAAGAAAAAAAAAGAAAGAAAGAAAGAAAGAAAATGGTGTTACTTTTTTGACTTGCAATGCAATATTTCCTAAGGTTGTGTCCAAATTCCCCTTCCTGTGTCACTGAATACCACCAAGGGCATGGCATACCTTTCATGGTTTGAGCAAACCTATAAAAGGGAGGGGCTGGGCTGCTGAGCTATTTTTGTCCTGGGTTTTCCCATCTGTCAGTTTGCAAGTTGGATGGTATCATAAGGTCTTTGCCAGCTCTTTCCTACCTTCCCATCCTGGACTACCCACTGAGCACTTTTCCCGCATACCCTCACATTTGGTTCACTTGTGCCTTGGTGATCACAACCATCTGCTGAAAATCCTCATTGCTTCCTTTGGCAGTCCCTTGACAGGTTTACTCCTGCCATGACCCCTTTCCACATAAACCCCTTTCAGCCCCAAATGCGTTTCTGTTTTGTTTTCATGAGATACTTAGTCTTTGTATGCTTTGACTTCTTCTCTAAGCAAGATTAATTCTTCTTTTCATTCTCAACCCTCTGCTCTTTGCTGAGGTCTTCTGTTTGGGTTGATGTTGTGTGTGTGTGTGAGTGTGTGTGTGTGTTGCCCTCTTTTACTTTCTCTCATGGATGATGGTGTGGTAAAGAGAGAAGTGGAGAGTTCTTGACTGGGATAGAACTGCATCATGTGGGCCCAATGGACAGGAAGCCTGGCATGAGCTTCAAAACCCATTTATTCTGAGTGGAGCAAAATGTCACAATCTCCCGGTCCTACTGCTTTTCCGGATGGCTTATTGTACCACTCCGGCAGGAGCTCTGTAATCACCAAGGCATTGTTTTAGAGGTAATGTGCTTTGAGTCACCCACTGCCACGGTGTACCATTAAGCCTCTCTTGCTTATTTTTCCAGCCCAGAGCAGCAGATGTGTCTGCCGAGAAGCATCAGAGTGCCAAGAAAAGGGATTTAGTATCTGTGTGGATGTGAATGGCAAGGAGCAGACAATGTCTGAGTGTGAGGCGGGCACCCTGAGATGCAGAGGGCAGAGCATCTCCATCACCAGCACAAAGGCCTGTGCCGCAGGCCACCAGTAGGCTCCCGAGGGCCTGGTCATGTTTGGAGTCCAGCAGTCGCAGGGCTGAGGGAAAACATCTGCACAGCTGGGCACTTAGACTATGCCAACACGAATGCACATTCTTTCTCCTTCCTCTCCAGTGTATGTTTCTCTTTTCAACTCTAAGCCATCTGTGTAAACAAATCCCTTGTTCTCCCAAACTTGAGTCCAGATACTCTTTTTTACTTACTTTTTAAAATTGTAAGATGAAAAAATGTTCATAAGCCACCGCAGGAGCTAGTTATGTGTTCTTGAAAAAGCTGTCTGGACTTTGACTTTCTTTGTCTATAACATTAGAGGATTAGACTAGAGACACTTGCGTGCTTCATTCATCCCGATGATTCCATTAAGTGTGACTGACCCAGCCCACGGGCCAGAACACACTCCACAAATTGATCAGGAAAACAGAGAGAAAACAATTTCCTCTTTAGAGAGGTTGGTGTCCCTCAACAAAATCAAATACAAAAAAGGACTCTGAATAAAAAAGACATACAATTACTCCCATCCTGAGTGGTAAAGTCATGCTTTACCCTATGCCATCTATTGCCACAGGAAGGGATCCCTATTCTTGTCAGCCCTGAACTACCTGAATGTCAGAGCAGAGTCCATAGTGCCCTGGCCACAGGGTGCCTTCTGCCTTCTTGTTGGAGGACACGTAGAATTCAGTCTTCCCTTGGGGGCTTTTCTTTATTTAGTATGTGTCAAACGCAAGACCTGCAGTCACTACTCCCTACCTCTTTGTAAAGGAATATTAGTTCATGCTTGAGTTACTGAATAATGAATGTTTGAGAATAGCCTTCCCTAACATGGATACACTCCTGTATTTTTCTGGAAGTATATAGTTTGGCCTTCTTTTTATTCCTTATTATTCTTTTTATCAAAACAAAAAAGCAGCTGCAGCAGGTAAAATGAGTAGGCTTCAGCAGAATTTAAAATATGCTTTTATATATAAATACTCTATATTTTCCTTATGTTGATAAAGACATTTCAAAAATACTTTAGTTAGGGCCTGGGATTTAGCTCAGTGGTTCCGCTGCCTGCCTCTCAAGTGGAAGGACCCAAAAATTCGATACCCAGTACCAAAAAAACAAAAACAAAGGCAAACAAAAACTTTAGCTAAGATGATAAGGACTAGAAAACTCATTGAAGATATTATTTATTAGAATATTTTGATTTGTATAGTATCTGATATTAGAGAATATTTCCATGAAGAAGGACTAACATGTTCTTGCCTGATGTTTTATGTGTCATACAGATTTAACTTTTGATTCCAAATGTATCCCATGAGGAAAATGCAGTTGTAATATGTTTAAAGTTACAGGGAGGGAGCTTTTTAATTGACTTCAAGCAACAACTTTTAGATATGTCAACTGCATTTGTTATGGGTTATTATGGAGTTAATTTATACCCTGGGTTGGGGGGTATATTTGAAAATGCCAGGCCTAGATGCAGGCTCTGAGATACAGGGCTGAAGAAGACATTGATATGGGAAGAGCCATCTTAGTGCCCTTCAGTTAATGGAGGGAATTACGGAGTTAGACTATGTTCCAACACCTCTACTTCTTAACTCACACAGAGGATATAGTCAGTGTTACCCAATGCTTTCAGAGGTCGGGCTCCAAAATAAAGGAACTACAGATGTATCATCTCTTATATGAAAATCCAAAATTGGAAATGCTCCGAAGTCTGAAACCTTTTGAATGCTGACATGATACCACAAACAGAAAATTTCACATCTGACCTCTTATGATGGGTCATAGTTAAGATGCAAGTGCTCTAAAACTGTAGTATATGATTACTTTCAGGCTATATGTATTAAAGATAATGAAATATAAGTGGATTTTGTGTTCAGTCTTGGGTCCTATCTGCAAAATATTGTATTATCTATGTACACATATTTGAAAATCCAAAAAATTCTGAAATTAGAAACTTTTCTGTTTGCAAGCAGTTTGGAGAAACAATACTCAACCTATAGCAAATTTAACAACTAAGATTTGAGAACAAACTTCAGCAGAGTTACTGAAGCAGAAATAAGACCGGTGAATCAATGGAGGAAGAAGTAAATGTCCTTGTAGACATATTACTTTGAAATATTAAATTTTGTGCCTCTTTTCATTTTCTGAATTTCCCTGCACACACTGACCTTTCCTTAAGTCATACAGGCATATGCACAATTAGCTACAGAGAACTGGGATTGTTGCAGCACGTTTGTAGAGAGAAGGTTACTTTCAACACTGAGTCTTTAAAGATGTTTTTGAAATTTACAAAATAAATTTCAAAGAAACTAGAGGGATGTGTGAGAATCCCCACTGCCTGACTTTAGAGGAGGATCACCTGAGCTAGAATGGATGACAGCCCAGGAGAGGCTGAAAGCAGTGTTAGTTAAGCTCACTTGGACCTAGGGGAGAACAGAGGTGGAGGAAGAACTTTTCAGGTGCATTAACCATCAGGGAACTGCATAGCTTTCAAGTCGCATCTTACAGACCTTCCTCACCTTCTGTGTGGACACTACAAGTCACTTTAACAGAAAGGCTGCCTTGGAAAACTTCCTAATGTCTTCCTTTGACATTTTATGCATTGTCTAACATTCAATCAACAGAAGTGCTGCTTATCAATGCTCTGAAGTTTAGTGGGTCCCATCCAAACTGCTCTTCATGCACTCCCTCCCCTTCAGGATACTTTGAAACAGAAGGAGGGGTCTTGCTATTCAGCTGTGGTAAGAAGGAACATCTGAGAAATGGCACCAGGACTCTAGGTTATCTGACAAAGTTGCTGGGTGATTGCATGAGGGCTCCATTCTTAGCTGGGAAGATCGTGGCTAATGTCAGCTTCATGTGAGACTTGTCACCCAAATGTCAAGTAGCCATTCAAAATTTCAGGTGTTTCTTTACCCAGCATTCCCTCAAAATTTGCACATGAGTCATTAACCATTTTTTTTTGTTGTTGTTAAGATGTGAACTTTAATCAATTTATTTGGCCCTCATGGTTTTTCACTTGTTCTAACTTTTCTATTTCAACCCCAATTTTTTATACTCATGTACACAAGCACTAATCCACTGTATCAGTCAGCTCTCCATTACCATAACAAAATACCTGAGGTGATCAATTTATAAAGGTAAAAGATTTAGTTTGGTCTGGAGGTTTCCATCCAAAATTGAGTGCTCTATGCAATTAGGCTTCTGATGAAGGTGCACATTATGACAAGAGTGTGTAAAAAAAACCAAAATGGTATTCAAGAGTGAAGAAACAAAAAGAGGAAAGGAATGGCCCAAGGTTTCACATCCTCCTTTGAGGACATGTTTCCATTCATCTAAGGAGTTCCCACCATGTCTGTAGCATCTCCCTAGAGCCACACTAGGAACCAAGGCTTAAACATATGCACCTTTGGGGAACACTCAGCCAAACCACAGCATGCCCATACACTTGAGACCAGGATAAGGGGCAGTGCAGATGAAGTTATCACAGACTTGAAGCTAAAGTAAGATACTGCATATTGTGGGTACAAGGTGAATTTGATAATGGATGTTCAAGTGTTCAAGTCTACCTCTTTCTCTCTTCGGGGCAGGGGCAGGGGTACATGAAGAATAGAAGAAAAGAGGAAAGTAGAGGAGAGAGAAGGGAGAGAGGAGAAAGAGAGAGGAGAGAGAGAGAGAGAGAACAACCACATTTGGAAGAAGTGAACAACCGTATTTGTCCTGATATCCACTAGTCCACTGAGATTTTTCTTTTCCAATGGACTAGTTAAAGTGTATGCAGTACTCTTGTCAGAAACAGAATGGCCTGTTTCTCTTACAGACACTAAACTCAGTAGGAGGTAATTTTTGTTAATATCTGAAAACCCAGAGAGACTTAAGACTGCCTTTCAATTACCTTGGTCTTTCAGTCAGTTCACACATTTGGGCACAAGAAAGTTGATGGCATGATAGGAGTCCCTGCTGTGAAAACCAAAGACCTATAATTTGTCTTTTTATTTATTCCTGTCAGGCTTTGAAGGCAAAACTCCAGATCTGCACTCAAAACATCAATTGCATGGGAAAATTTGTTTTTTCAGCCAAGGGTTAACAAGACCAGATGGAAAAGATTGTGGTTGTTTCAGAAGGGGTGGGCTGGAGGTGAGAAGGTGGGCAGGAGAAGAGGAAATACGTGAAAATGTTCTTTTTTGGTTCAAGGCTGAGGATAATTTCCTGTGGCAGGATAAACATAAAGCATTGCTTTGCTCTGTTGTCATTGTTATTTCCATGCAACCCTAACCAGAAACTGGTAACTGAATTCCAGAGGTGGCTCTTCCATACACAACAGGACAATGGGGCTCAAGAAAAAGGCTCTTTTTGGACCACTTTGCAGTTAAGAATTAGACATTGCCAATTGAATCTTTAGGCAAGCCTCTGAGATAATTTGGGAGAATGCAGTAGGTAATGGAGAAAGATTTTTTTCATCTTCTGTTTTTCAATGACTTACAAATTGAGGAAGAAATATGAGTCACATATTTGGAAAATTATATTCTCAAAATTTATCTTGCCTTCAGTATAACAATATAATTCAATAAATAAAATTCAGGACAGTTTGTCCAGAAGGAATACAAACAGGTAAGAATATTTTGTTGGCTAAACAAAGTTTGATAAAAAGTTGGAACAAATGCCATTTTTTAGGTCATGGCTTAGTGATATACAGTGACACACTGACCACAGACAGACAGACACAGACACACATGCTCACACTCACACACATTGTTTTGTAATGAATTCCACTGCCCTCATACTCTTTTTTGTTGTTTTTTGGTACCAGGGATCAAACTTGGGACCTTGCACTTGCAATGCAGGCGGCAGCACCACTGAGCTAAATCCCCAACCTCCCATACTCCTGTGGATTCTGCCACTTTTTCTACTCTTCCATTGTAAGGAATACTTGAAAGGAATAAGTAAGAAAGAGGGGGTATTCTAGGGCCAGGGATTTAGCTCAGTGGTTCCACCCGCCTGCCTTGCAAGTGCAAGGACCTGAGTTCAATCCCTGGTACAAAGAAACAAACAAACAAGGAATTCCAGGAAGTGATAATTCATAGGCTTACAGTTGTATAAAATTACCACTCAGAATGCTGCTGTGAGGTGCTCATGACTAGCTTGCAGGCTGCTTCCACATCTGAGTGAACAGGCCTTCTCTAATTCTATGCTTAGGTGATTTGAAAGCTACTGCTGGGGTTGAAGACTAAATCATGTCATAAAAACATTATTACAATATGCTAGATATATATAATTTCTGTCTGTTGAAGGCTCTAGAAGAAGTTCCTCATTTTGTAATTCATCCTCTGAAACTATGGCAGTGCAGAGACAATTCCAGATAATTCCTCTGGTCTCTTTCACTGGAAGCCTATTTATTTCTTCCCATCTGTAATCCTTGTTTTCCTCTTTTTCTGGCAAAACTGCTTTCATAGCAGGGTCAGCCAAGCTAAAAGTTCCTAATTTACCCACAGAGCACTGGCTCTACTTTTGGGTTAAAAGGGCAGACCACTGAGTTGTATCATAACATGATTAATAGCCCTACAGAGCCGTGCTAACCTATTGGGTAGGTCATGTGCGTTGTAGAATCTCTGTCCTATAACAAACGTGAGTTGAAAAATTATTGCTGCAAGCACAAGGTCCTGAGTTAGATCCCCAGTACCTCAAAATAAACAAACAAATGAAAAATTATTACATATACAAATAGTAGTGAGGCAAGCAACAGGAGTGAGACTAAAAAGAATCTGTACTTTCTTCAAAAGTACTTGAACAAGCTTTTTCTCTGTGACTATTTCCTTGAGACCTTCAAGGAACCTTCCACACTTGAATGATGTACTTGCACTGAATCTCTTTGAATAAATCACAGAAGGTCCTTAGAAGGCTGAGTGGAAAGAGAAGCATTAAGGAAGATCAATGGCGACTCCCGGAAGAGTCATAGTGGTTGGGAGCGATTAATAGAAAGAAATATTGTAGAAGGAAGAAAGACCAAAATTTCTCCTGTCACAATGGCCTACTGTGTGCTTTGTTTGAATTAAGAGAGTAAGAATATTGTACTCTGAAGGGATCCAGAGTTGCGTGAAGCAAGCAAGCAGGAGGATCAGATGGTGAGCTGAGAGTTCTTGGGTTGGAGGAACCATCTAATCTTTCGCCTTCTCAGAAGGGCAGCAACTGTCACAGGGAAAATGGCCACACAGGTTAGGATAATCAGCTGGTTTTATGTACCACTGAGTTTATGTAAGTATTTGGAGACTAGTGATACATTTCTTAATAGTATTAATATTTAAGTTACAGAACTAACATTGTTTGAACAATGATTCTGTGTCAGATTTATGAATGCTTTACATGTGCTGTAATCTGAATGCTTTGTGTTTCACAGAATCCATATGTTGAAACCTAATCCCAAGATGATGATATTAAGAGGTGGGCACTTTAGAAAATCATTAGGATTTTCCACCTTGATTCCAATACCAGAAAATGACCCAAGAACAACAACAAAAAGAACTATCAGCCAATATCTTTATGAGCAGATGCAAAAATTAGCAATAAGATATAGGAAAACAGAATGCAGAAAATCATAAAAAAATCATACAACGTCACCAAGTAGGATTCATTCCAGAGAAGCAGGGATGGTTCAACATACACAAACCAATACACCATATGTTTCTATTTAGCAGGACAAAACCACATGATCATCTCTAAAGATGCAGAAAAACATTTGACAAAATCCAACAACCATTCACAATAAATCCTCAAGAAAATAGGAATAGAAGGTGCTTATTTCAACTTTATAAAAGCCATATAGGACAAACCAACAGCTAACATCATACTAAATGGATAGGTTGTGTTTTTGTTTGTTTGTTTGTTTTGTACTGGGGATTGAATTTGGGAACTTGTACTTGCAAGACAGGCAGTGGAACCACTGAGCTAAATTCCCAGCCCTACATCATACTAAATGGAGAGAAGCTGAAACCTTTCCATCTAAAATCAGGAATAAGTCAAGGATGTCTGCTTTATAACTTCTGTTCAAAATAGTTCTTGAAACATTAGCTAGAGTAATTAGACAAGAGAAAGAAATAAAAAGGATATGGGTAGGGAAAGAAATCTTATATGTTGAGGATATGATCCTCTACAAATAAGACTCCAAAAACTCCACCAAAAGACTCTTAGAACTAATATCCAAATGTAGTAGCAGGATACAGAATCAACATTCAAAAATCAATAGTATTTCAGTACACCAATAATAAACTCACCAAGAGGGAAAGTAGGGAAACAGTACCCTTTATCAAGAAAAATGAAATACTTAGAAATTAACCTAACCACGGAAGAGAAAGACCTCTACGATGAAAATTATAGTACTCTGAAAAATAAGATTGAAGAGTACACCATAAAATGGAAAGATGTCTCCTGTTCATGGATAGGTAGAACCAATATAGTCAAAATGACCATACTTTCAAAACTGGTATATAGATTTATTGCAGTCCCAAACAAAATGCCAATGACACTGACCTTGTGATCAGTAGGTTTAGGCAATTAGAAAATCATAGTCTGTTGGGAATGACATATACAATAACAGGTTTTACAGAACTGGAGAAAGCCATCTTAAAATTCATACAGGACAAGAAGAGACCTAGAATAACAAAAGCAAATGGGAAACAGGGGCAAAGCAGAAGGCATTGCAATCTCAGACTTCAAGTAATAATACAGTGATAAAAACAGTATGGCATTGACAAAAAAACAACAACAATACAACAATAACAGCAACAAAAACAACCACCCTCCCGGAGCCCCCCCAAAGAAAAATCAGACTCATGGATGAATGGAACAGAAGAGCAGATACAGAAAAAGACTCCAGGCATACTCAGCTGTGTTATCCTTGACAAAGGGGCCAAATCCCTTCACTGGAGGAAAGCCTCTTTAATAAATAGTGCTAGGAAAATTGGCTATTCACATACGGAAGCATGTGGAAGATAGACCCATATCTCTCACCATGCATTAAACTAAAATAAAAATGGATTAAAGATGTAGACATTAGAACAGAAACATCTAAGATGTGCTACATGCATGTACCAATTCTCTACACTGAATGTAATTATTGTGTACTGCAAACATGGACCAATAAAAGTTAAAAAAAAAAATAGAAAAGAAAGAGAGAGTTACTAGGGTTTTACTCTCATATATAGGATTAGTGCCTTTATAAAAGAACCTCAAGGAACTTCCTAACACATTGAGGACGGGATCCTTACCAGATGCTAAATCTGCTGGCATATTAATTATGGACTTCTTATGTTGGAACTGTGAGCAATAAATTCTTTGTTTAAAAGTTATCCAGTCTAAAATATTTTATTATAGCAGTCAGAATGGACTAAACTGTATTATTCACTTAATTTCCAAAGCAGCACCTTCAGGAAGAAATTGATCTTAATTTTGTAGACATTGAAATTAATGTAGTAAGAGGTTATAAGACTTTCTCAAGCCCCATGGCTAGTAATTATTAGGGCCAGAATGTGAGAAAGAGAATCCTGAAAATAACTGCCTTAAAACATAGTAATTTAAAAATACCAAAGATTTATTATCACACAGCTCTGTAGTTTAGGAATTTGGGAACTTAATGGTTCTATCTTAGAACTCTCATTAGATTGCAAGATAGTTGCCATATGTAAAGATAAGTTTCTCAGGTAAATTTAAATTTTAGATAAATAATAAATAATTTTTAGTGAACTGTATAATTGGGGTGTGCTGTTAGTGAAAAACATTATTTGGTGTTCAGCTAAAAATCAAATTAAGTAGGCATTCTATATTTCCTCTTACAATTTTAGGTTCCAGTTAAAGAGTCACCTAAAGATTTTGTGTTCATGAATCTGTTCTGAAGGTGGCTCACTTTCGTGCCTCATAGATGAGGGCTGGTTGCTCAAGGAGGCATCTGTTCTCTGTCACATGGAACTTTCTGTGTCACACGCTCAAGGTCGCCGAGTGTCCTCACTGTATGTCAGCTGCCTTCCTCTACAGTGAGTGACTTAAGAGAGCACAATATCATTTATGACCTTGTCTTAAAAGTCATAATCCATCATCTCTGAGGGATTGTACTGGCTGCACAGGTCAACCCTGTTCTTTGCTTGAGGGCATCAATACCAAGAGTCAAGAACCACTGGGAAACATCCTGGAGGTGAGCTCTATTACTGGAATTCATATACGGACTTCATCGACTATAAACTCTACAAGGGCACAGATCTTCTATTTTTCTTCATTCTTGTAGTCCTGGTGGCTATAACAGTGACCTATGAAATTGTAGGTACTCAATGAATATTTATTAGATGGATGAATTAAAGGAGTCTTGGCCCAGAATTTTTGAACCAACTGTCACTTTCAGCTTACGAATTCTGTAGGAACAAGAGTTGCTTTCTCAAAGACTTTGGGAATGAAGATATTAGAATGAAAATAATAGGAATTTTCAGGGGTATTCTAGAGGGATGTATTAATAATATTGGTAATAAATGATTATGATGGTGATGTTGAGTGAGCATCAAGTTCTGTATTGGAAGCTTCTTTTTATGTACCAATTTTCATATATGCAACTGTCCATGTAAGCATCATAGAAAAGAGTAAAGAATTACATCCAGTTATTATGAAGAATGTTGGTACACACATCCCACATATGCACACATGGGCACGCAATATTGCTCTACATTTAAAAATGGAAAGGAAACAATAAAATTTAATAGAATTGCAGATAGGATCTTTTGCAGAAAAATATCTGGCATAGTCTTGATGCATAAATTACAATCCAGGAGAAAAGAGGTAAGTTAAGATTTATTGTAAGACTGTATTTTAGAAAGAATATGGGTAGTAATTCAAAGCTGATAAAGATATAAGAGGAAAGGTTTATATGTGGAAATAATAGTAGCCATCTTCTTACTGGCACTGTAACTGTGTCAAGTTCTGTCACTTTTTGATGTGTGCTGGATTTAAGTGTCCCAAGATAGAGGACTAACCTGTGTAAAACCATGAGGCTGTCACCACTCAAAACACTGGTTATTCCTCAAGTGAATTTGTGGGATTTTTTTTTTTTTTTTTTACTAGTGGAAGCAGTCAAGGAGACTGTAGAGAATGAAAACTTTCCTACCCCAAATTCCCATCCTATGCATCACCTTTTCACAAGTTTATGAGTTAATACTATAACCACAGGAGTCAATTTTAGAAAAAGCCTAGCAGTTTATTTCTTGATGGCTTACAGAGGGATACTTGTCTCTTTATACCTTCTCAAGAGGGTATGCAATGCAGCTTCAGCTGCTCTTTGGACACTGATACAGGGGTCTAGCAGAAGTGCTTGGAGTCCTGAAATGGAAAGAATAGCTAGGGTAAGTGAATGAAGAGAGCCAGACCCCAGTAGGAGGAGCATCCTGAGCCAATACCCAATGCGTGAGACAGTGTAAAGCTACCATTGAGAGTCAAACCTGTGTGAGGCTCTGGTCCTAATGCTCACATTTTACTCTGAAAGGTAGAATTTGGAGCTATGAGTCTAGAAACTTACTATTGAAAAAGCAAAGTGGCAAAGTGTGGGTTTAGCATGAGTGAGGCCCTGGGTTCAACTGAGAGGGGTAAGGCGGGGGGTAGAGGGAAGAGGGAGGAGGGAAGAGGTCCTGAGCTTTTGATTAGTAAGTTTAGGTAATTAGAAAATCATAGTCTGTTGGGAATGACATACAAAAGTTTGGAGCTGGAGGTCGCTTTAAATTGTATAGAAATTCCAAGGCCTAGAGAGCCTCGGAGAAAATTGTATATTAAGATTTTCTAGGGATGGACCCGATTAAAATATGTTCTGTGAATATATAAAACCCCACAGAAATGCAATATTTTGTAAAATTATTGGGCACTAATAATTATGTATTTTTAAAAATTTTCTGTTTCTGCGCTCACATAGAATTTGGAGCTGTAACAGCTTCTCTCTCCCTAAAATATAACAGTAATGTGGGCAGAAACTAGGGTTGGCACTCACGTGTGGTCAACTGTTCTCTGTCTAATAACTCCACATACTTGCTGGTAAAATTGAGGACAATGGCATCTAAATTCAACAGAAGAAAAAGTTACTGATTTAGGAGAGAAGTTGATCATGTAAGAATCTTTTTTCTTTTAATTTTTTTTTCAGCTTTAATTGAGTTTATTGGTACATTTTAGGGATACAGTACAGTTACATTCATTGTTGGGATCTTGTACCTCTACATGACAGGTCTTGATTCTCATTTTTTCCCCTTACCTCTGCCCTCCCAGAATCTTCACCTGGTCAGAAGGTAGATGGTCTCATTAGTGAATGAGCAAATTCTATAGCTCCCTCTGCAGTCCTTCCTTAGGATGATGTTAGGAGAAACTACTGTATTTCAAACCCATGCCTGGAAATGGCCCCTGAGCTTCATATTAGCAACTTGACAAAGAGGTAACACAGAAAGGTTAACTGTCCAGAATAACGTCGCAGAACCAAGATCTACTGGTCCCCACATCAACACACTTTCTATTTGTATCATGTTGTTGCTCAAGCTCTCAGTTCGAACTGAGGTTAGAATGCTGAGTATGCTTTCAGTTGAGGGATGAAGTGAAGGAAAGCATGAAAAGGCAACAGGCTTGGAGGAAAGACTCGGGGGAGATGAAAAAGCAATGACTTGGAACCAGGAGGAGCGTGGAAGCTTCAGCGAGGTCACACTCTGATGGGAAGAGGGTGAGTGCTGGCAAATCAGAAGAGATTATATCCTTTCATCTGTGAAAAAAACATGTTACTATGAAGGATGATGTTGAAACGCATGAAGTGATTTTCTTCCTGGTCTTTTTTTTTGGGTGTGGGTTGGGAGGGAAGGGTCATACCAATCATACCAGCGTTAGGCTTTGGGTAGCTTTTGGTCAAAAGCCAAAACTAGTTGGGAAAGAACAGACACATCCGAGTAGGGAATGCGGATGTGAACTCACCTGTGAGTTTGACAGCTGCACTCCTGATCATCTCCCAGTTGCTGGTGAAAAAGGTGAACGAGTGTGTGTGGAGGATCCACAGAATTTCCTGGTTTTTCTTTGCCTACAAAAGATGAATTTTACAAAGAGGGCAACTGGAAAGTGACGGTAGTGACTAAACTAACTGTGTCAACTTAATTGATTTAAGAAGCACCAATGGGATTAGTGAAGAACATTCTGGGTGTGCCTGGTGGGCATGGAGGTGTGACCTTAGGTGTTATATCTAGTTCCTCATGTCTCCTCTCTGGCACTATTCCTATGTTCTGCTTTCTGGATACCTTGAACTAAGCATTTTTGTTCTGCTATGCCATTCTGCATACAGTACAGTTACATTCATTACTGGGATCTTGTACCTTTACATTAAACCTCTCTTTTAAATTGCAGGTGTCTAGTATAGTATCCCAGCAAAGGGAAATCTGTATAATACAGTGACCCTTTATTTTCATCATATTCTAAGTTCTCAAAAGGTAACTCTAAAAGCCAGTAAACATTCATGCAGCCATTAGTTAATTCATTAATTGATTGAAAATGATCTCAGGGCTGTTTCAATTTAAATTTATTTGGGAAGGCACTAGGGATTAAGAAACTAATCAACAGATGTGAGTTTTTGGGAGAGCAGATCCTAGTGCTAGGAGAACGGAAAACAGGGCAATGTGGGAGGGTGCCTAGAATCACTGTGATCCCTGCAAGACAGTCTTAGCTCTGGCCAGATTCTTTGTTAAGTTGCCTGCCCATATGGGACTGGTTTAGTCTCTTGTCCTGCCTTTTTCAGGTAGCACCTGCTATCCACTCACCAGTTTCACACAAAATTGCCTATAGAAATCTCTGGCTCTTGGTAGGTCTTGATCAAGGAGATGGTCTAGTACCCCATAGAGCTCCTGAAGGCCCAGGAAAGGGAAGCAGATGATCAAGACATCACGACAAGCCTAAAAAAACAGTGCTTTCTGGGTCACAGTCCATAAAGTAGGGATCTTATTCCTGAAAGGAAGAAATGCTGAGTAGTATCAGGGAAGCAGTAGTAAAACTCAGTGGTTCAAAGAGCTTTATGATCATTTCCAGCATTTTTTTTTTTCCAGCTTCAAGGATGAAACAATAAACTGGGAAAGAGATGACAAGAAAGAACCCAGAACTGGAGAAACAGGTTTTTGGCTCAGGTCTGTGGGGTGATTTTCGATCTGGCTTCTATTTTAGCTAGATCAGGCTTACTGGCACTTGCCAGCCCTGGGACAAGGAGGAGGTTCAGGTGTCTGAACAGGGCCACTTACAGCTCCAATCTTGGGATTGGGATCCCAGAGGTGGAGAAGGAATGAAATCATGCTCTTTTTTATCTCTTCAGCGAAAAATGTCTTCCACTGTCTTCCTGTCAGGGATGCCAGATTTTCAAACAAGATGATGGCAGTCAGTCTCATGTCATCTTGCTCCTGTGGTGACAAGTGCATCTTTTTATAAGCCATTCCCTGCCAGCACCCTCTAGGTACCCACTTGAAAGTACTTCCCTACTTCAGTAAAGAAAGGGGGAAACTGGACAATGGTTTCAATGAGTTAAAAGAAGTCTTTTTTTTTCTTCTGGAAGCTCTGATCCCAAACCACATAAACTACAAAAAACAAAAACATGGGGTTCCAGTGATCCCATAGAACTGTAGGCTTCATTTCTGTCTTTGGATAACTAGTGGGAAAGTGTGGCCATAGGAATGATAAACAGGAGTGCTAGTATCAAGATGCCAGAGAGGATTCATGTTCATCTTACACAAATCAACCTGATTGCATCATTAGCCTAGAGTTATGGGACCTTTATTCTAATTGCCCAAGGTACTGAACCCTTTTCCAAGATACCAAATACTTTCTTTGGGGATCTCAGAAATTGGACCTTTGGTTTCAGGTTAAACAACAAAAAAGTGCCTGGCTCTTCTCTTGAAGTTATTTCTTTGCTTTTTGTCGAGGATGATAAGTGATGACTTCAAGAAACAAAGGGTAAGAATTTGAAGGAAGATAGACTCTTTTTTAATCTCATGTATGTGTTTTGCTGATATAGTTCAGAGTCCCAACAAAGGAGAAGAAATGAAATTAAATGAGTTTTCTGGAAGTTTCATTTTCAGGCTTAGAGAATTAGTTTAAATATGCACATGAATACAGAGGGATAAATAGAAAAGCATTCTGGATATAGAATATTATTTAGCTAAGCAAGAAACAAAAAAGGAAATTGATATAGATATTCCAGCAAAATAAAGATGACTTTTTAAGAAAAGCTCAGAATTGCTAAATGAATGCATGGTAAATACTTGAATAATAGGAAAGCAGAAATAGTTCTTTAAATATATTAGGATTAAGGTCAAAGTATGTAATATATTTATTAAAAAATCTCTTTTTTTTAAAAAGAAAGAAAACCCAAAAGATAAAGAAATATTTACTTAAAACAAGAAAAGAAACAATTTTGGAATTTTCTTGCATCAATGAAATGAAAGGTAGAATAATTAAAAAGCAGAAAAAAGAAGTGGCAACAATGTTTTAGGGAGTTGACAGAGATATTAAGAAATACACATCAGGTTCAATGTCTTCATTTTTCAATCAAGAAAATAGATCACAGAGTAAAGTGATTTGCACAGGTAGTGTGAAATGTGGCAAAAAGACTGGAGTATATATAACAACCATGTTTATATTTGTACTATTTCATTAAAGCATCAGTATGTTTTGGGAATTCCAAGAAAGAACTTCATGAAATAATTCATATAATGAAGGGGCTGGAGGGAGACAGAAAGAAAGACAGAGTGAGAGAGGAATGGAGAGGTTAAGAGGCAGAGGGAGAGGAAGAGAGAGAAAACTTGGAGATGACAGTTTTATGCTTAATCTTTAGAAAAATATAAGGACAAAGTATCATAGGGTGAAACATACTTGCAGAAAGAGAACCTTAATGGACACTGAGTAGCATGTCTTTTTCAAACTTCATTGTTATGCAAGTGTGATAGAATCGGTATCTATTATCAATAAGAAGGATCTAATCTAACAACCAGCAAGACTTTAATTTTTTTTCCTTTCTCAAAGTATTGAGAAACATTATCTAAGTCACAGGACTATTAGGTAGACTGAAGGAACAAATTCTAGATAATTATTATTATTAGTTCAGTAACAACCCAACAGATCTAGCACATGGGGCCTTAGGGGTGATTTCAGCCCTTTGTTAAGGATTGCTATTAATTATCTGTGTAATGAAGAATAGAACATCATTGTTATTTTTACAAAAGATACTAAATTGAGTAGGAACCAGAAAAATTTTTTGAGGACAATTTGAGATTTAAAGGTGATATTAAAACATTAGAGAAACTGGGGAAAAGCAGAAAAGTTTTTCAAAGACTACATTTAGGTTAGCACACAAGGGAAACCACAAAATACAAAACTTGAGAATTATTGACTGTGGGCATATATTGCAGATTAAAATCTATAGATTCTATGGTTAGTAAGTTTTCAAGAGTCAAAAAGAAAAAGATTTTTTTTTAATGGAGCAAATAAATAGGAAAGCATTAGATTTGATAGGTAATATTTTTTCTTTAAATTCTAGTCAATACTTCTCAGTCCTCATTTAGAGATTCAGCTTAGTCACTGACTTTTAAAGTATTTATTGAGCAGAAAAATTTACATGATGGTGAATAATGAAGGAAATGCAGACTTTTCAGTCATGGAGACCAGAAGATAAAAAAGTAATTTAATGAAGCCTTAATGTTTACGTAGGATGCAGTAGAGGAGGCAGTGAGTAGTTTTCCATCTCCTTTGACAACAGGACATGGAGAAAGAAGTACAGATCACAGAAAGACAGATGTAGGTTATGAGATGGAATGTTAAGTCAATGGTGGTGAATAAACTAAAAATAAATACTAAAATGCAGTTTACTAGAAGATATAAAGAAAATTATTCTCTTGTACTTAGCATTGCTGACTGATCTTTTTAAAACTTAGGGCTATGTACTACATCAGATAGTAGAAGGCCTAACAGGGAATAATTTAGACTTTACTGGTCATATCTCTGTGGCCATTAGAGTGGACTTTCAACTTGCTTGGCTTTGGGCTCTACCCCGGGGACTGGTAGAGCAGAAGTCTAGTTGTGACTGGGCAGGTCATGGCATTAATATCTTGGGGTCTATTTCTGGCCCCTCACTTCTTCCATCTTGGCAATCTTCCTTTGCTCTGTTTTCCACACATTAAGCAGCTTTCTCCTCCATGCCCTTGTGCCATAATATTTCTGCCTTGAAACCAGCTGACCATGTGCTGAAACCGGGAGCCAAATTAAACCTCTCCATCTTTAAATTGTTGGTGTCTTGTATTGTGTCCAGTGATGGGAAACTAGATCCTTACCGTCTCTCCAGCAGCTAATCAACTCAGCTGGTGGAGAGAGAAAGCTGATATAGACAATAGAGAATCAAGGAGTATGACCACGTTCCAATAAATCCTTAATCAGGGAAACAGTCTGTGGTCTTGATTTGGTCCACGAGCTATACTTTTCTGATTTCTTGATTAAATGAGTCTTTGAATTTGGGAAATAGAAAAGACAGTACTGGAAGGTAATGTCATCTTTATTCAAGCTATAACTCTGCATTGAGTATTGCCTTCATTTTTGTATTTCCTGAAGCAAACCCAGAAATGAGGTTTTAGGGAAAGTATTTTGTACCTGGAGATGAGTTCAGGGAGCAAATTTTGGGAATGGGCATAAGATAGGGAAAAAAGCTAAGAAAGGGAGCAATAATGATTGCGCTGTCTTCATGAGTAAGTGGTACTCAATCCTTCTGAGGCATGAAGGACCTAGGAAATGTATCTACAGACTCTTGTTTCTCACTGCTTGGGGCTTCTTCCCAGTACTTTCTTCCCCCACCAATTCTAGCTTGCTCTGTTTAGGTCAATCATGATTCCCAGGGCAAGGAGTGTCCCTGGGCAGAAAAAACACAGGAAGTCACCAGCTGAGTGGGAGTAATTTGCAGGTGAACTCTGGGCTGGCCAGTGGCTATGGGTAGGACTCTGACATCACCTCCTACAAGCAATACCCAAAGCTTTTCTGTGCACTTACTTCTTCTGAGGAAGGAAGGTTCCTAAACAGGCTCACTTACGTCTTCAAAGAAGGTTCTTGTTTGGAGCACTATTTCCTTGAAGTAGAAGCTCACATCCCTGTCTGTGAGAAGCTTCAGGATCTTTTTGAGAGCCTTCAGGCTTTCACAGACGACTTCAGTACGAGCCAAATGATACAGGCCTCTAATGACAGATTCCAAAATTATCTGCTTATGCTTCTTCACCTATTTAAAAATAAGGTCTCTTCCCTTATCTTTCGCCATGCACTAAATTAAAATCCAAATGGATTAAAGATCTAAATATTAAAACAGAAACACTAAACTTGCTGGAAAGTAAGTTAGGCAGAACTCTGGAAGACATTGGTATAGGAAAAGACTTTATGAACAAATCCTCAGTAGCACGGGAACTAGCAGAAAGAATCAACAACTGGGATCTCATCTTACTAAAAAGCTTCTGTACTTCAAAAGAAACCATTAGCAGAACTAAGAGACAATCTACAATGTGGGAAAAAATTTTTACCAGCTGTACCTCAGACAAAGGACTATTATCAAGGATATATAAAGAACTCAAAACAATCAGTCCCCCCAAATATAAAGACCCGATCCAAAAATGGGCATCCGAAATGAACAGACATTTCTCATACAAAGAAGTGAAAGCAGCAAGAAAATATATGAAAAAATGTTCCACATCACTGGTCATTCGAGAGATGCAGATGAAAACAACACTGAGATTCCACCTCACCCCACAAAGAATGGCTGCTATCAAGAAATCACACAATAACAAATGTTGGCGGGGTTGTGGGGAGAAAGGAACCCTTCTCCATTGTTGGTGGGAGTGCAGACTAGTGCAACCACTATGGAAATCAATATGGAGATACCTCAAAGAGCTTGGACTGGAGGTTCCATTTGACCCAGCCATCCCTCTGTTGGGTATCTTTCCAAGAGAACTAAAAGAATCATATCACAGAGAAGTATGTGCACCCATGTTTATAGCGGCACAGTTTGTAATAGCTAAATCTTGGAAACAACCTATTTGCCCATCCGTTGGAAACTGGATAAAGAAGTTGTGGTTTTTCTATAAAATGGAATATTATTCAGCCATAAAGAGCGAGAGAATAGATTCATTCATACGAAAATGGATACATATTGAAGATATACTCCTAAGTGAAATAAATAAGTCCCATATGTGTAAATACCAAATAGTTTCCCTGGTGTGAATATTCTGCAACAATGCATAAGATTCTAATAAGATTACTGACATTTAGAAATGGGAGGAAAGGAGCTAAAGGTGTAGGGAAGGTGTGATACGTAGGGGAAGAACAAAAAGGGAAAAGAAAAAAATATGAGAGAATGAAAAGATGAAAATAAAGTGTTTGTAGATGGGGAGGGGAGGAGGGGGGGAAGGGAGGGCAGAGGTAAGGGGAAAAAAATGAGAATCAAGACTTGCCATGTAAAGGTACATGA